TTCTTCAGCTGCTTCTTCCTCTTCTGCTTTCTTTGTCAATTCATCGTACGACATCGCGACGATAGCCAAGATCAAGTTAACCAGATAGAACGATCCCAAAAAAATAATAACTATAAAGAACAACATATGCCATGGTCCAGCCGATCGCAATACCTAAATATAGAAATCACAAATTAACAAAATGCAAATACATTCTATAAATAGGATACGGGGTCTTGATCTCACCAATTGATATAAATTTTCCCAGTAATCTTGTGTCATCAATCTGAACGCCGACAAAAAAGCCCAACCGAAAGTATCAAAACTCGTGTACCCGTAGTTTGGATTACCGCCGAATCCTTGAAGGCACCTGTAGCCCGGAGCGCACTCACTATAACAAAAACAATGTTATTTGTGCCAGCAATTAATTTTTTGTACGAAATTTCGTCGAAGCAAGAAATTTACATACCCAGCACCTGACGAATTTCCACATAAGGGCATGTCTCCGCTCTCCGTAACATACCAATTCGCTAGGAAAAAAAATGAATTTATACACATTATATATTAATTAATATATATATATATATATATATATTATATATACCTACGATTTCACACAATATGTTTTAGAACATCATAATAGTACAATAATATTTATAAATTATTACAACCCACAAAATTATGATATCTATAGATATATTCGGTACTATTCAATTTGATATTTGTTTTTAGAATAATCACGTTTGTAAATATAAATGTTGAACCCATTTAAATTGATTCTATGCATGTTTACATATTAAACGATTTACAAATAAAATTTTCGAAGTAAACTAATTTTTAGCGGGAGTTCATTTTTATTTGATTTATGAATGTTTTTTTTATTTATTTGATATACATTTCGTTTGAAATTACATTTCTGTTTGTTTATAGAGTATTCTTTTAAAAACTTCTAAACGCTATTTTAGATACACAATCTATTTGTCGCAGTTCAAGAATTTATATAAGATTTAGATAAAATAGTGACTGTTATTCTATTACAATGCATAAAGGAGGTAAAATCAGTGATCTAAAAAATCGAGCATTGAATAAAATAATTAAATCTAAAGTCTAAATAACCCAAATTGCAAACACCATGACTGTTTTTTTAAAGAACTCCATAAGTCACTATTGAAATATTGTCGTTATAATTTACTGAGCGAGGTTTGGTCACGTTTCAACGCAGAATTAGCCCCATCTTGGAATTTAAAAGATGTCGATGCCATTTTATAGTTTTTTTGAAAAAAAAATCAGTTATATCAATTTCAACTATCTAGCTCATCATTTGACCGAAATATCATTGAAAATATGCGAGAAAGGCCTTTTTTGGTCTTTTTTCAGAGTCAATTTTGTTACAACTGTAAAAGAAATCGACAAAAAAATAACCCCATTCTATTCACATCGGTGTATATAATACTAAATTTTTGCATTGACACATCTAATTCATTTTCTTGACTTTTAAATAGTAACACCGGACGGCACACGCACCGGACACTCTATTTAACACGCATTACTTAAGCGAGTATAAATCCTTTCATTTCAAAATACAAGTGACAAGGGCATGTGTGGAGATGGTTACATATGTGATCAACGCAGGTTATTTTGAAATGTCCGGTACTAGGTGTCACTGTTTAAAATCATATTTTTCAATACCAAAGCTTGATTGATACTATTAAATATTTTTAGCAAAGATTGCGGTTTTGTTAATTTAGTTTGATTTCAACTTTGTTATCTAACATAAATCATAATTTAATAAACATTTCGTAAAATATTTTTTTATTTATTTATAAATAACCTTAGGTGTCCAACACTAGGGGACTTCTATTAATTAAGATAATTTTGAACAAATGTAATAGCAAAAATGAATAATAATTGGTAATCATAAGTTCTTCTATCAATGTATTTGACAAATTCAATTTAATATTATCGATAGTAGAATTAGTAGAAATAATTAAATTTATCTTACTTTCATTGCTCATGAATCTCTCCCAGTTTTCGTCAGTGAGGTTTCCCCATGAACCGTCCTCCGGAAAATTTTTGATGCATTTTTGCGTGAGGACGCCCATGTAGATTTGTAAGCCCATGAGTGCGAACACAGATAATGAGAACATCGTCAGAATTATCACATCCCGAAGATTCTTCACAGACTCTATGACGGCTCCGACGATGGTCTTCAAACCTTGGTAAAGGATAAATAATTTGTTTATAACTATTTTCATAAAATGAAATGCATAAATTATGATATTTATGAATATTACATTAAGTAAAATAAAAAATAAGTTTATGATAAAAGGTCGAAAGACTAATCTCAAATTTTGTTTTATAATATTAATTTAATTGGTTTAAACTGATGTAGAAAAAAAAATAAAAAAATGAATAAAGTATCACTTAATTTTTTTTTAATATAAATATTTATATTAAGTTGTCAAATATCTCCCTTCCGCCTTTTTGTCTTTTGAATTTCAAGCAAAAAAGCGGAAGGGAGATATTTGACAACCTAATACCATTTTCTATTTCACAAAATAATAAAAATGTAACTACATACTTTCAACTAATTGAAAAATTTGAAACTACTCTTTCATTTAATAATTAGAATATTTAATTTGATATTGATATACTTATAGGTTACCAGAGTCTAATAATAGGGTTTAAAATAAAAAAAAAATTGAATAAAAAAAATGATGATTGAAAATCCATACGTTTTATTTGGCTAAACAATACTATAAAAATAATAATACAATATTATTATTTTGCAACGATAATTGGACACACCTAGGTTTATCGATGGCAACCTTTTCGCCAATATCTAAGAATCGTTTTAAAAACGTTAAATAGATAGAGCGGATAATTTCAAGCTTATATATTAGAAATATTATTCAAAATTTTGTGATAAACTTTCACTAAAACAACGATACATAATTAGTTATCAAGCTAGATGAAAAATGATTGGGCTACTAAAATGACTATAATGAAAAAGGTATTTCTAAAGGGCGAGAATTTAGAGTTGTAAGTATTTTTCAATACCGCATTATATAAATTCAAATTCAAACAAAATTGGTCCAAACCTTAAAAAGTGTAAGGGTAAACAACTCTAGACAAAATTAAATATTTTAAAGTGAAATTGTAGCTTCTCCATTTGCTTAAGAAAATCTGAATTAAAATTCAGACTTTAAGGATTATTGTTGTTTAAATAAGTGCAATAAAAACAAAAAGGTACTTATCTTATTGCTTGCTTATCTTTATATTAAAAACTATGAAACATTTATATTAAAATAAAATTGGTTCCAAACTTTCTAAAAAGTATTAAGGATGATGAGGAATCCTCGATAAAAACTATATTGTTTAAAGTAAAATTAAGCTTTTCTATAAGCTCAAAACAAATCTGTATAGAAACTTATTGTCTGAAGTTTACTATTGTTTAAATAAGTTTAATAAAAACAAAAATATTTTTATAGCTTGCTTATCTTAATATTAAAAATTATGAAAAATTTAAATTAAAAGAAAATTGGTTCCAAACTTAAAAAAAGTGTTATAGGTAGACAACCCTCGACAAACAGAAATTGTTTGAAGTGAAATTTAAGCTTTTCGATAAGCTGATAAAAATCTGAATTAAAATTTAGTATTTTTTAAACCTTATTGTTGACTGAATAAGTGTAATAAAAATAAAAAGAACTTATAGCTTTCTTATCTCAATATTAAAAATAGAAATAATAATAAACCACGATATGATAATTTAATTAAAATTTATGCATGTGAATACGTACACATTGTAACTGTTCTCATTTTAAATTACTTTACAAGAAATTTATCTAAACCTTTCAAAATATCACAAAACACAAAATTATCAACATGGCTGCTTTATATTTTTGAAAAAGCTTTCTGAAAACAAGTACATATGATTATTAAGCGACTCAATTATGTATTTGTAAAAAAAATCAATTAGTAGATTTAATTCATACCTAAGAATTTCTATTTTCATAACTATTAAAATATTTAAACTTGATATTATTATAACTTATTAAACTAATTTATTTAATCGTGCATGCATCTGTAATTAACAGGTATGATTTAAATCTGACTACCATTATGACCTCATATGTATACGCAACATGTAAAAATAATGAAATTAAAGTAATAATAAACAATTTAACTATTACTTTATAATATTATAAAGATTAATACAATTACTCCATTCATTCAAAATTACCTGGGACGATGGCGACAGTTTTTAAAGCTCGCAGCACTCGAAATGTGCGGAGAGCAGCCAAATTTCCCAAGTCGATACCCATCGTTACATAACTAAATATTAAAATAAGTATAACTATTTATCATAACATCTAATATCATTAAATGAAAAATATAAAACATTATATAACCCTATCTAAAATATGATTTTAAGTTGTATACTAACTGCATGCTGTTGTAAGTATTAGCTAGGTAGAAATAGTTGGTTTTGAAATTTGTTTGAATGCATGCAATCTAATATCAATTTGTAAATAAAATTTATATATTATATATTTATTGAAAACTATTTCTAACTTATATTATTAATCTATGTATTGATATACTACAAGTTAAATTCTATATGAGCATTTAATTAATACTATTTCTTTAAAAAGTCATCTAAATTCTAATAGATTGGCGCACTAAAAGGATTACAAATTAGAACTGCAAAATTAAAATTATCAATTTTTTCAAAATAAAATAAGAATTTTCCTCTGAATATTTTTCCTGCAAGGAAATAATGAAATGAAGCCAATCTCTCCTAAGTAATGGGTGAGGTGTAATAATCTCTAAGAGTCTACGCCTACTCACGCTAATGTTATTACTACGAAGTCTAGCCAGTTCCATGCGTCTCTTAAATATGTAAAAGGCTGCAAGATGAAACCTCGGGCCATTACTTTTACAGCCGATTCGAACGTGTAGATTGCCGTGAAGATGACTCTGCAACCACACACGTCACATTATCGAATTTCTTTCGAAAATATTGCTTCGAAGCGAGTTTTTGAAGGTAATTTATGGATTGATAGCAAAGTGTAATAGAAACATAATAAACACTATACTGCTAGTTTTAAACATGTTTTGATACCTATTAGTCACAACATAATATGAAAACGTAATTAGTAAAATCTGGTTGTTCCTGCCAATCATTTCTGTAGTTTGACTCAGTGCTTATTTGTCGCTCAGATTTTCTATTATAAACAAAGGTGAACAAAAAATATCAATTATTATATTAATTTACTATGCCTTTAGTCGCATCATTAACAAGACAACTCGCAAAAGTTGATACTTTATCCTAAAATATAATTGCAAACGATTTAGATCTATAACAAAAAATATAAATTCATATTGGAGATATTGTGTTATCAACAATTACCACGTGATCTCAAGCAAATTTAATTACATTAATTCATAATTTTAATTTTAATTTTTTTTCTAGACTTTGGATCTAATTGGATGTGACTATATATACAAATTCTCAAACTTTGATTAATTTTTAGAAAGAGTGATGGAGCTAGGGGCTTATTGTAGTAGGGGTTAAAATTCTAAGAGCTTTTTGTAACAGACGCTTTTCAATGGGATCTTAAACAATATTGAAATATTTTTTGTCAGAATTGGAGATCTAAATCATCTTGTATAATATTGTTCATAATTACTGTTCTGCAAGCCGACGAAATATACAGAACTATGCAGTTTCACCTTTTTTGTCATGTAATATAAAATTAATTTACATTAATTATTAATTAATTACTATAATTTTGAGTCACTATTATTTAGACTAATGCTAAATTTTATATATATTAATTATTTTGCTTCAACTTTTTTAATTTTTGATAATGTGTAACAATTTCTGTGATCGCTAACTTGTTCAAAGAAAATCTTGATTAATATAAAATAATCAATCCTGAGGTTAGTTGAAACAAAACCTTGGGGCTAGTTATATATAAAACTATATAAAAATAGTAGAGTAGTAATATATAAAAATTATATACAAATTCAAGTGAAGATGATTAGATGGAAAGTATAAGACATGGGCAAGATATCTTTTATTTGTATTAATTGTAGTTTACGTTGATTTATGATAAGAATTTCTGTTACAAGAGACACTATGTATTTTATTTGTATTAATTATATTTTGCGAAGACATATGAGAAAAAATACTTCAAAAATATGCTAAAATTTTATTGAAGCATATAGCTTCTAATTACTTCCTTAAACGCTTATAGATTGTTTTTTTATATATTTCAAACATCTTGCTAGCAATAATAGTCTATATAACAAGCTACCATATAAAATCAATGAATGACTCAACTAAATTCAAAATGAAAGCGTTAACCGCCTTGTCAGTCATATGGGTTTTTAGGATTTATTAAAAATAAGCCAAGAATAATTATCAAATATATTATAGTCGAATGTTTGACGTTACTACTTGCCCCAGTAGATAATACAACTATTGCCAAATACGAGATACGTTGTGACACCAAAGTTTTTCTAGAAAATGACTAATTGTCACATAATAAATAATAGTTATGGAATAATTTCCACTTGATTCGGTGGAAGAAAAATTACAGAATCTATTCGTATCTATTTTGTATAAATATGATCAGTGGATCGCAAGATATAATAATTGAAAAAAAAAACTTTTACAAACAGCCCCTAGCTTCTCTATATCGTATGCTAATTACAATAAACATTTCTTGAAACTTGATAAACATACATATTTAAGAATTACATAAAACTTCATGAAAATAACAGAAGAAGTTATACGAATCCTGTGACTGAATACTAACAGCTGTATATTAAACGTTCTGTAATAATTTTGTAACTTTTGTAATTATCTTAAATTTAAGTTGTTTTTTAGAAAATGTAATTTAATTTAAGGATAAAAACAAAATATGTGAGACCTAATACATTTCATATATAAATATATGATGTAATTTGGAATTACTGAATTGAAATTTGCTTCGTGATAAAACACCATTTAAATGATGTAACAATATGCAAATATTTATGTAAATGTATTAAAATAATGAGTTTATTCTTTTTATTTCTACCAAAAATATTTATGAAGGATAAATATAATAGGATAACTAGTAAATCATTCTATAGAACTTTACACGCTGCTAAACATAGATATTTTATCAAAACTAATATATATGAATACTAAATAACTCTACAAAACTGGATTTTTTTCAACAGTTGTGATGAAGAATTATCGAACTAAATATCTGGATTTGCTAAATCTATAGACTTTTAATTGAAACATGAGATAACTATTGACTTCAAAAGTTATTTCTATTAAAAATGAGATAAAAGTTCTAGCATTTTATATTTTATATCTAGATAGAATTCTAAATTATCACTTACTCTGTGGATTCGACGGTCGGTGAGGAAGGCATGATCATGAGAATACAGTTGACTAAGATCGTTGTGATGATGAAAAGCGAAAATAAGGGATGCACTAAAATATAAATGGCGACTCGGCGTATAGGGTTGAACGGGTCCAGTATCCATAACGCGTCCGTTGCCGAGAAACGAAAAATATCCTTGCCCTTGCTCACCACTACGAAGGTCTGTAGGAAAAAATCATTTATATAATAAATATTGAAAATTATTCTTGATATAGTCATATATATTTATATATTAGGGTGGTCCTTAATATGGATATTTTCGGTTTTCTTTGCTCCCAGGGGCTCAAATGCTTCCAAATTGATACAAAAAATTCTCTGTAAGTCTTAGATCACAACATTAACTTAAATATAGTCGGCACTCCAAGCAAAGTTTCTCATGGAAATAAGATGGGTAAAATTCTATTTGATTTTTATAATTTTATAACTTAGCCATAAAAGAATCAAAATATTGAGTATAACATTGAATTTGATTATTTTGATCATTAATAAAAAAATACAACAAAAATTGGATACATTTTATAGAATAAGTATTTACTTAGGAAGAAGAAGCAAAAAACTTCGGTTTAGGTGTGGACTATCATAAGTTAATATTAGCTTCTAAAATTTTCAGAGAATTTATATTAATTTGGAAGCATTTGATCCCCTGGCGGCAAGAAAATACGAAAACATCTTTATTAAGGACCACCCTAATGCATATATACCTATATATATACAATATAACATATATTGTTTATCGAAATAATATAATATTGCAATTGAGCTGGAATTTCCTCAGGCATATAAATTCTTCCTCAATACCATATTCACTTCCCCAATCAATTGTAAATTGTTTTCAACAATATAACTATGAAAATAATAACAATATTGGAAACAATAATAATCCATAATACCTAATTTAAGCTACCGTATAAATTCGATCAAAGATTTAACTTAATTCAAACTTAAAGTACAACAACATAAAGATAAACTAAACCAGATTTTTATGTACAAAAGAATTCCTGTTTATGTTGTTATTATATTTTCATGCTTAATAATATCTTACTCTAATAACTAGATGTAACTAAAATTTATTTCTGTTTATTATATTAAAGACAATAGCGCGCGTATCTTTTGCGATTGCTTGTTTAGCTGTATTAATTGCATCATCGAGTAAAATATCCTATTCAGCATACCAATACATATTTTCCCAAGTATTTTTTTGACTTTCAGTTATTATATTAGAAAACCAAACCACATACATACAGCACAAGATACATATAAAACAATCAACTATTAAAACATGTTCAGAAAATTTCCCAGTTATTGCCTAAATATAGATATATGGTATTTGCTATTTTTTCTGAAATTTTGCATTTGTATCCTTTTACTCCTTGGGGCAAGCACATTCGATGTCTAATTTTTAATTATAAAGAATTGTTGAAAATAAAAGCTACATTATTTAATTTACACAACGCTCAATACAAATTTCATGGGTCTAACTAATGAGTAAAAATTTATTTTACCTTTTTATGTTTTTCCTTATTGTTCAATGATCACTGCAAATGACTGCATCTTTGGACTTAGTTTTTAGAGATTTTTATAATGCTTTATAAAAAATTATTCAAATGATCAAACAAAATCAATGCCTCATGTATATCAATAATAATCAAACAAATAAAATCTATGCAAACAGTATTTTATAAATCTATTCTATGAGGAAGTTACGCAAAATAATTAACACAAAGAAATTTGCATTAATTTCTATTTGCTATTTGGAGAAAAATCATTAGTAGAAATGGAAGGATAAATCAAGAAGCATTGCGCAGGATGGATAAAGTATTAAACATGAAATAAAAGGTTATATAGTTTGTAAGAAAATATAACACAGAAAATTGAATGTTGATACAAAGTATATAAGAGAATAAAGAAAAAGCTCAAGAAGTAGATTACACGAAAAAAACTGGCTTAAAATAGTTCCCGCTGCAAAGCACAATGTAATTTTTTCGCAATATTTCAAAATACAATAATCCTTTTATTCCTTCAAAATAAATCGAATTAAAAAGTTCAGCAAATAAGAAGTTCATCACGCTGAAAGAACTTTCAAGCTTGAACTTTCCGTTGAGTGAATGCAAAGCTCACAGTTGTTCGAAAGCGTACTGACAATGACATAAATAATACAACATACTCCGACTGTTATACTTCAGAAGTAAGAATATAATTCAACTCGTAGCATGTAAGTACACATGTGAATTTTATTTTTTAGCATTTCACATACGCAGTCAGTCGTATATTCTGTCGTTCAGTTAATCCAACTTAATTGAGCGCGGTAATTAAATAATGATATCGACCTACTTTCCGCATGATAAGAATCTCCGTAGAGAATACACTTTCATGGAACATACAGAGTACGAAGCTGTTATAATTTTCCATGTACTGCCAATTAATACGATGATGTCAACTTTATTAAAAGACTCGGTACATGTTGTATTATATTACAGCAAAAGTGGTGAAACTTAGCAATTTATCACTTTGTCATTTGGTAATTAAATAAAGCTAATGTAACCCTAAACGCAATTTTTACGATAAAAAAATTTTTCATTTGTATGTAAATATTTATATGTTTTCCTAATTCTTCTCATCGTAATTCGTATGATTGTGAAATAAGGAAAACTGGTCCCAGATTTTTTAATTATTTTTCTGAATCTTTACGAAAATATAATTTCATGTAATTTCAAATGTACAATTCAAATATATTTTAATAATATACATATAGTAATTATAAACTATGTGATTAAACTACAAATTAGAGTACGATTAATGCTCAATTTTTTAAAAATATTTGAACGTTGTGGTTTCAATTACTTTTTTAGATTTGCTGATGTAGTCCAAATGTAAAATACCTTTTGCTATCGGATAGTAGATAATTCAGCTGCTAATTAAAAAAACTGTTTGATCAATTGCGTAGTTTTCGTTTGGCGTTCGATGAAAAATTAAAAATAAAATCAATTTTTTTGGTCATGTTTTGCTTTTTTTATGCAAAGGCAAAAAAGTTATGCGCTTTTTACTGTCAGAATTCGTTTGCCAAATTTTGTACTGGTTTTTATTTTATATTCTGTCTGGTTGAAGTTGATCACAAAGAAATTGTCTACCTTGAACATCTACCATTAAGTCCTGACCATAACTTTTTGTAAGCTTATGACACCTCTTTACATTCGCAAAAATCAAAAAGAAAATATTTCAAACATAGGCGATTTCATTATCCATCTTTCAACTAAAACCAAACAAAAACGATGCAATTGATCAAAAACCTATTTTTTACTGGTTGACTGCTGAATTGCAAGCTATCCAATAACAAAAAAATATTTTGCATTTGAACTAGGTCAGCAAAACTAAATATTCAATTGAAATCATCTAAGTGTGAAATCTGCACTCAGTTAGTTATCAATCTAATAAAATAATGATATACTACTATTAAAAAACTATTATAAATACCGAAAAAAACTATTATTTTGTAATTTTATATATTGAGATTCCTACAACATTATAGAAAGCTATAGATAAAAAATTAATCACATCTTTTAATCGATTGAGGAAGTAGTTATAAATCAAAAACTGTACTAAAACATTAACAAAATCAAAAATCATTACTTATTTTATGATCATAGTATTCATTTCACTAAACAATTTTATAACAATCTTTAAATTTCATTTTTAACTGGCAAAAGTAAATTGTTATATATAACAAACTGTCAATTTTACAGGTGTCTCTTGTAGAAGAAATAGAAATAAATATCTAATTTTTAAGACTAAAGTAGGTATGTATTCTAGGGAAGAAATTCAAAAGATTTTTTTTCTTTTTTTTTCATATTTTCAAAGCTTAACTATTTAAAAATATGTATACGAGAGATTTTAAAAATTAAAATTATTTTCGGAGATACAACTGTTTGATCATCATAATCCTCTTCTGTTTCCTTCTTTATGCGAAACTTTTTGAAAACGCGTGTTTTTTTGAAAACCGTTTTTTCGAAACGATGCCCACGATTTCACAAGTTCTACTAGACCGATTTATTTGAAATTTTCAGAGAATTTTCTTTATAGATTCCTCTCTTATATATACTACACTCATATCGAAATTTTAATCGTTACTATTTTTAAGAATTCGAGAAACTCTAAAAAGTGGTAAAAACTGTTTTCAAGCCATTTTGCAAATAAAAATTTAACTTGTTCGTAGTATATACCATAGCGATAACATTCTTGATTAGTAATCTGTTTTTTTTTTCAATTCAGATTAACCAGAGGGGTTGCAATCGTGGGCATGATCAGGTGGCAATTTTTTGAGGCGCTCTACTTTAACAACAGCTAAGTCTTAAAATTGTTATCTTTTTTTTATTTTCTTTTCTGTGCTCTTGAATATTGATAGATAAATTATAAAAAAACTTGTGGGGCGCATGGCATCGTGCCTTAAGGCAAATTGCTGGAACTTCCCGTATGAATAATTTTTTTTTTAAAGATTAACATTTCGAAAAAAAAAATTGCTTCGAAAAAATTAGATTTTTGAGAAACTAAATTTTTGTAAAAAATTATTTTTTTGGAAACAAGACTTTGAAAAAATATATTTTCTTTATTTTGAAATATTTAGGAAGTTCTGAACTTTTCGTCAAAGCAATCGTACTGCTTTAACAGCATAGAGACCAAATATGGAAGCGCGTAACCGCCGCGTCACTCCGTTCTGTAAAAATTGAGTTACCATTTGTGGCACTTTTTGCCCCGTATCTTTGAAACGGCTAAACCTGCCTATGCCAAAAACTAATCAGCACGTCTCCTTATCAATACGAATCAAATGTTTTTTGAATAATTGAAATCGGTTGAACCGTGTTCCCGAAATCGTCGACGAAAATTTGTATCCGCACACACACACACATACACACACACGCATACATCCATTTTTGTTAAAATATGCCAAAATGTTCAAAAACCTTTGAAACGTAAAGATATATTAAAATTTTTATTCTCGATCTTTTTGTCATTTCTATAACCTACCCTACGAGAAAGTTAATAATAGTAAAAAAATGAATTGCCTTATTTTTACAATGATTTAAAAATGACCTACAATTCATGTCTCTACACTAGATTACCCTCTCGAGAAATAATGTTTGAAACATACTTGAAGACCATATTTAAAGAAAAAAAATTCAATTATATAGTCTTATAATATATTATTCAAAATTATATTATATTTTGAATACAATTATGACTAAGTTGAATTGTTTGCTATACCTAGCGTTTATCGAGGTGCTCCAGATAATATCATAATCCGCAACGATAATTCCACACTTCCACAATTTCACCTCTGTAACTTCATTAAACTAAATGTACTATTAATGTTGTACTCACCCGCTGGTTGTGATAGTAGCTGTCGATGTCCTCGAGCGGCGTAGAGGCGAGCTCAGGTGGGAAACCGCCTTGCAGCCGCACCGGTATCGGCACGCCCTGTTCGAGCGTCGGGTCCGGCTGCGGGCCCTCGTCCTCGTCCTCGTCATCGTACCGAACCTGAAGGAAAAGCGCGATACGGAACGACCGCGCTCGATTATAATGTGTGTGATGATAATTTTATAGACTGCAAGACACGTTAAACTTAAGCAGACGTCAGACTAAACATGAATTACATCCAACACGATGCTGCTATATGAAATAATATCAGAATATGTGTTAAAGCAAAAATTGACTTTTCTGCTGAACGTTGCGAATAACATGGTTTTCTATAATGAACTCTGTGTGATATGGATCGGTTGACTCGGGAAAGTGCTCGTATATTTTTTATAGGTTCAAGACTTTACATTGCCGCTTAAATAAATTCGGATGTTGGCAGGTGAATCGATATATACTGCCTGTGAAGACTACTTATGAAAAGAAAAAAAAATCCGACAAATACATAGATATTTATATGTTACATATATGTTATTGTTTTAGAATCTGCTGTATATTAAGTATGTAAATTCCTAGTTATTCATGAATTAAGTAATTTATGGAAATTTAGAAAAAACTATACGTTTTACTGCTCTTAAAAATACTTCATTTGCGTGCTCAAATTCAAATTAGGATAGGGTTTAAAGTAAAAGGTCGATCATCGTTATCTAAAAAACAAGTAAAGTATAAAAAATTTAATGGTACTATTTGAAACTAGAAGGCAAAAATTAATTTTTTCCAATCGCCACATTATTTTTCAGGAGGCCACTTTTACTATAAATCAAAATGGATCTTTGTGTCCCGCCCTACCGTTTTACTAAAAATATTGCGTAAGCATTAATGATGATTTTTTTATATTTTTGTTAAAAACTAAAAAACAGTTAAGATAGAAAGGAACAAAAGCTAAATATGTGTATATATGTATATTTAATATATACACATATAGATTTTTTTATCCTTTCTATATTTACTGTTTCTTTTTAGTTTTTATTAAAAAATTAAAAAAATCCGTTATAGCCCGTTAATGCTTATTTAATATTTTTTATAAAAGCGTAGAGCGGAGCACAAAGGTTCATTTTGACTTTCAATAATTATATTTTCTAAACCAAATTAACTACACATAACAGGTAAAATAATTAGTTAATTCATATTTATAAAAAATTGTTTTCTACTATTTTTTTCAAAATATATAATCGGTCTTTATTAACCTCATAAGACCTATGCGGTCGGAGAACTTTTTCAATCATTACCCCCAAATATTTTTGTCTAAGTTGATATTACCCTCACGACGAAGAGAGATTACCCCTTAAATACCAATTAAAAATACATGCTTTTTACCTCCAAAAATTCTATTTATATCGCATTTGGGGTAATTTAACTCGGTTTCCGGATCACCTATAACATAAGTGGTAAAAATCAAATAAGCCAGGAGAGGCAAAGAGATACAATGTCTTATTTTTAATTTAAACCAATTTTACTATATAATAGCTACATTATTTAGCCAGTGCAATGTACAAGTGTCATGGGCACATATTTTACAAAGATCATTTTGTATATAACCTGAATATAGTATTTTGTGAAAAATATATTACATCAGCAGAGTTGGAATAACTAATAGTTCAATTTATATCCTACAAAATCGTTTTTTTACCTTATATTACTTTTAGATTTACTGTTCTCTCAAAGTTCACATATTTGTCAGTGTGAAGGTATTGCTTGTCTTTTTTACCTCACCCATATTTAAGCTTTTATAGAGACCCTTTCCCACCCACATAACATATTTCTTATAAAACAAATAAATAAAGTAGGATTAAAACTTATATTTAGATATCATAAACTGAATAAAAAAGCTTAGAACCAATGCAACTAACAACAGAAAAATATTTTTGTTATGAATATTAATACATGGCCCTTTATCTCCTGATGGCTACGTCGTAAAAATTAATGTGATGACTGGGAAAATAAATGTTTGCCTTATACTTTAGAATAGTATTGTTATAATCATTTTTACTTTACTTGTTTTTGAGATAACGATGATGGAACTTTCTACCATCGGACCTTTACACCCCGCTCTACCCAAATTTAAATTTGAGCACGCAAATCAAGTGTTCTTAAGAGCAATAAACCGTATAGTATTTTCAAAATCTTCATAAATTATTACCAAAAATTAATTGATATTGTATTGATTCGTAAGAGCATTGACTTTTGCATTTAAATCACTGAGAACTTAGTAACATTCGACAAATAATTATTAATCCAAAATTATGAGAAAAGTCATATTTTATTTATTCAATAATATAAGAACAAATATTTTTTTTAAGTGTTTAACATACTAGTCTCAAATAGCTCCATATTCAAGAAACACTTATAATTGTTTTTTATGTAACATAATTAAATCGTATTCCTGATTGAACTTCACATTTTAATTTTTGTTGTGCATTATTTTTCTTGTAGTTATAAAAAATCCCCATACATTGAAAAATCGTAGATCTATATAAAATAGAAATTATCAGAGTACTACTAGTACTTATTGCCTATATTAATAAATAATATTTTCCCTATTACATGTAAAAGCAAATTATTTATTGTAACTATTAAAGATTTAAATTGAATATTTCATATAGCAGTATCGATCTAGGTTTATTTCATGCTCTGTCGTACGTCCACTTAAAATTCAACGTGAACTTGCAGACTACTATAGAATAGTGCATGCATGCACGGCATACCGAGCTCAGATTCATGACATTTTGGATCTTTTTACACTGCACTGACATCCCCAGAAAGAAAATCAATTTCAAGACATATTGACACCTTAAGAGAATGAAATGATTGATCTTACAGTAACAATTTAGAAAACACAGTCTATAAATGTGTCTTTACCCATAGTGCTGGTTACACCTTATCTGGGCAACGTCTTTGCAGGGTAAAATGATCATTTCGACTGCGCACATTTGATAGCAAGTCCAAATATTATCTTGTCTAAATGCAATGTTCGTAATTAAGGAAATGTAACTGCAGGAGTTATGTGGTGACTAACACGTAGGTGTATCGACGAAGTCGTAAAACAAGTAATTGAATTGTCAACTGTACAGTCAAATGGTTGTCTACTCGGTGTATACGACCATTTGAAATTAACCATAGGAATAAAAAAAATAATAACAAAAATCTTTGGATGTAGGGGAAATACGGACAAAATATTATGTAAATATATAAATAAAATGACACAGTGACTTTATTTAAAAATTTGCTAGATTCAATGACGTTTCCGGGACTACACAACAAAAACGTTTAAATAATCGTTGAGCGTCATTGCCATAGTTTTGCCCAAGTAATCAGTTCAAACGTGTATTGCACATTCAAAAATTTATTTTAAGGGTGGTTTTGTCTTGTTTTTTAAGATTTATTTATTGTTATTTGTAATGACTGTTACATAAATGAACTTATGCCAGTACAAGTAATTCTAATCAATTTTCTTGCAATTATCAGATGTTTAATAGAATTTTTCATTATTCATTCATTTTTGTTTACTTTCGTACACAGTGACATATTTTGTACGAAACAAAATTGTTCAATGGACAAAATGACAAAATAATATTTCGCAAGCACTACAAGCATTGACCTTATATTACATGGACTGATAGTCGATTGGAAAATAAGTGCTCAAACATAGATGGGTATATGACGTCACATGTCTGAGCGAACCTTGCCGATGACAATCGCGGACTCTTCCGATAGATTAAATGTATATAACATAACATATGTTTTATTTTAATAATATAATGGCAATTGTGATGGCTGATAATTTTGTTTGGCAATAATCGCTCAGACATGTGAAGTCACATATCTATCTATGTATGAGCACTATTTACAACGGAAAACATATGAGGACTAGCAGTCCATGTAGTGTGATGTCTATGAATACAGGGTAGTTCATTAGAGGTCAAGAGAAAAGAAAATTGAAACCTATCAAAGGTGATTGGCCTGTAAGTTCTACTCTAAATACTTCTAAAAACAGGCTAAAGATACACCGGTAAAAAGAGACGAGCATTTATTGCAGGAACTTATTTGGAATAAATTTTTCGGAGCCCGGAGGAGATTGGTTTGTTCCCTTTGGACTCATGCATCATATGCTCATATCCCAAATAAGACCAAACAATTTAATTGTGAACTACTTTCTTTTTCTCAGTGTAGTATTAGCCTATAAGTCATTTTGTCATTTTGTATATGAACAAAATGTTTTTTGTGATTGGTTGCATTTTTCCTCAATAAATATGCTACTACAGTTGTTGTCTAACTAAAAAGACATGTTACTACTACTAGTCAATGAACCAATGAACGATTGATGCTGGTTATAATGTTTTTTTTTTAACTCGTTTTATTTAGCAATCAGAAATATATAAAGAATCCTATGAGCTAAAACGACAATGTTTAAGAGCGATGCCTAAGAAGAGCTCCAATGAGATCTTCTCAGTAGTTATAATGTAATTGAATAAATAAATATCATTAAAAAACAAAACACCATGTCATTTTATCCGTACTTCCCCTAATTCATAATTAATAAAATTATCATAGTTGGCTTATTTTGGATTTTTGAAACAAAGTTTAAAAGCTTTCATCATAATCGTCGTACACATCGAGCTTCAATCATTCAGCTTTATTATTGAAATGAATTTTATGAAGCCATAATTTGTAGTAACCATAATAAAAATATAAAATTATTTTTTTAATGTTTTTATCTCCAGTTTCGAATACTACAATGTGCATAGTCGAATTTAAAATAATTTCCATACAATTATCCCACGTAGTCATAAGAAATTTCTATCAAAACTTTCAAAATCCTAGATAGCTGTACAAACAATTGTGTCAGGAGAAAACTCTTAATATATCACGTTACGTAACAATAACTTCGAATCGAATATATTTATCTATATCTCAAAATGCTCCAATAATTCCAAGATTTGAAGTGGGTAATAAGATTCCAAAGCATAATCTTCACGGCGTCTTTAATAAAATTGCAGCATCAACGGATTGTGTAATATCTGCAAGGATTCTGAACGCATAGGTAAAGATTTTCTCGAATTCAATATTCGGAGCGGTACCTCTATGGGATACCAATACAAGGATTGAAACGATTGTTTGTATCGTATCTATTTCGGATTCTTTTTTTTAATAATATAATATGGATTCTACTGGATATTTTACGTTTATAGATATATACCGTGTCAAGTAAATATACGTTACATAGCAGAGGCGTGCGCTTGTGTGTGTGTGCAGGCTAATTGCTAACGTAAAGTATTACATTTATAAAAAAAATCCAAGTAGTACATGGTATTTATTAAATGATATTTTGTATAAATTTATAAAATCAATATTTATGAATAAATTATCAAAATATGCGCATTGGTGAACGAATACATCCAATGGTAAACGATCACATTTGAAGATTATTTTATTGTACCAAATTTTCAGCATAACTATTATAGTCCTAAAGGGCTATTCATTTATTTGGAAGTATGCACAGAAAGAAAAATCACCAGGACTTTAGAATGTTTAAACTTCAAATTAAATTATGTTAAGTTATAGAATTGTATTCAAACAAATACAAATTTTAATTAATCAAAAACATGAAATATTAAATCTATTGGTAGAATTCATATTGCAAAGTACCTGTATCTGAGTTTAGAGCAGAATGTTTTAATGTAACTAAATTTTAATTAAATAATACCTTGAAAGATTTATTCTATTGGAATAATTCACATTGCACAATTTCAAACCGTATTGTAAGTTTAGTGCAGAATTTTGATATGTGACTTCAACCAGCAGATTAGGGACCCAATTCTGCGGTAAAATGGACCCTAACTTGTTATGTTAATCTCCTTTTTTCTTAAAAATTCGTAGTACAAGCTGTCAAAATGTTATGTATTTACTGTACAGTCAGAATCTAAAAAACGCAGAAATAAAGAAACTTTATCATCATAACTGCATCTTTTAGATGTGCATTCATAACACATACGTGAACTTAGGTTTTATGTGTAAAACGCCTGATCACACAACAAATAAATAGCTTTTTGACAGTTTTTACTACAAATTTGTATGAAAAACGGAGCGTAACTTAGCGTTACCATAACAACGGTCCATTTTACTGAAGAATTGGCCCATCATAAATCTTCCACGGTATTGATTAATTAAAATTTTATGACGTTACAAAAACAAAACTATTCAATAAAATTTCAAAATAATTTTGTCATAACACTATTAACTTTCGTTATATTTTACGGATTATTCAATACAAGTTTTGTAGTTAATAAAAAATGCCTGGTATAACCTGTTTCCATTTTTTCAAGTTTGCACTAAAAAATTTTACTATGTGGAAAAAATGATAATTTGCATTATTTAACAAACTATAATGTAGAATAATCGAATATTTGAATTTTTAAAATTATACTGAAATGTATATTTATCCTATCACTAAACTTCAGTAGAAAAACAATATACTTCATCATCGCTCATATCTTTATAAAATCTACATAAACTGTAACTTCTTTATTTTATCATAAAATTTTGAAATGTCCTTATTGGTTATTTAGTAAATATATTAAATGAATGAGTAAAAGTTATTAGTATTGCTTTTACTTTAATCAAAAAATACTTTTTTGCAAGAGCAAAAATATTTTTTTATATAAAAAAGAACACTAAGACATAAAATTACGTAGCCGAGTTTTACTGGAAGTGTTATTT